AAAAAAATTATTTTACAGACCGAATTGAATAGAAACTGCAAAGAAAGAATGCGCAGACAATCTACGCCAAGGCTGCACTTCGATCTCCATGTACGAACAGTCCATTAAATCAAGAAATAAATAAAGACCAATTCTAAATAAATTTTAGATTTAACAAAAATTAATTTCAGATCAATCGTCCTCAACAAGAAACAGTTTCTTGAAGTAAGACAACAATTTGCGCGATACCTGGACAGAACAGCTTCTATCGAATTGCGTAGGTTCAGATATGGTCTTTTAGTTCAAGATTCGAACTTGTGGCTCTGATACCACTGAAAGAATGGTAGGATTCATCGTATGGATGCCAAAACTGTTGCGGAATGGGTGGGCGAATTTCAAAAATTTCCTACATTCCTTTCAATTGGGAATCACATTCCCTGATTTTAGAATCAAAATTCAAGGATCCTACTTGAACCAAACCAAACCAGATTTGAACCAAAAGACGAGGGAGGGATTATACCTAATCCAGAGAAGCAGTATCTCCCAAAGTTGGTGTTCACACCCAAAGAAGATCCTAAGATCAGCTCCCACTGAAGATGACATAGTGATGATGGAGCCGAACCAGCAGTGTTCGTCCCACGAACCAGGCTCTTCTAAAGAACTCGATGGAAGACTGTGAGCACCACACGAACAATCAAGAACCTTTCTTGATCTTCTGTAATTGAGAACTTGAACTGGCAGAAGAGGGTGGTGGTGGCTGCTGAAGAGGAATGCGAGAGAAGAAGATGGTGAACTGCTATTTTCTTCTCTAGGGTTATCTGAGATCCTATCTCAAGAATGCTGAGTTGTCTGCTAAAAATTCTAGGGTTCAAATTCAAGTCAAGATGAATTAGGGTTTTCCTCCTCTTTCTTAATGATTAAGAAAACCTCCTAATCATATCAGGAGTTGCCCTTATTCAAATCTGCATTTGGATTAGGACTCTTCTTAATCTTATCTGTAGATTAGATCAGCTTTTGGGCTTAACCTAATCTCAGATCCGCCCCCTTAAGTGACTGATCAAATCAGCCCAGATCGAAACAGGCTTTAGGCCCAATAAGTATTAAGTGCTCAATAGTCTTCCAAACTGCTGCCCAGTTGGGCTTCTTTGTATGGTGTGGGACCCAAGCATTGATCTACACACCAGCCACATGGGTTCGGCCCAGCCTCTGTTACAAGGCCTAGCCGAATTCATTGGAAAGCCCAGTGAACCCCTTGAGCCCATCACATGGACCCCATGGGCCCAACACTTACACTAAGTGGTCCCTGGGCCAAGCCATCTTATAAAACCCAGGGACTGTGGGCAGATGCAAGATTAACCCATCAAGTATTATCCCAAATGGCCTTACACTTAACCTCTCAGCCCATAATGATCAAGCACTGCCCGACAAGAGAGGACATCTCCCTCGGCTGCAAGGAACAATGCTGCACTCTCTACTCACATGGATCCCGGGAATTAAACCATTTGCAAACGTTTTGAAACCTTATATAAATATATCATATATATAAATTTTGAAAACAAAATTCCAACGATTGAAATCAACTGCCGGCAGTTAGGTTTCCATCAAAGAGAGTGCATCCCCGACATTACCTTTGTCCAACCAAGGGGTTGATCCCATCACTATGATCACCCACTTAGATGAATTCTCAGACTGTCCCAACATACCCAGGTTTTGACCCCCGCTAAGGATCTAACTGATTGGCATATCAAAGACAGTCCAATCCGACACCTAGTGCAGTACTATAATCGGGTCTAGGGGTGAGGTGTAACTTTCCAGTTTTGCCCATCAATCTCCAAGGTCTAGGGCAATACTGGAAATCTGGTCTGGTTCAAGGGTTCAAGTAATCCTACACTGCATGTGCCTTGGGTCTCACCTTGGCGGCTAAGACAAGCCACCCCAACAGTGTCAGCCTTGGCAGGATAAATCTCCCCAGACTTATCCAACCACTGTGAACATTTAAAACCAACACAAGTCTTGATTAAGTGTCCAGTTTTAGGGTCTTACACAGAAGCATACCACACAACATGAATCAAACATGTACATTATTTATTTACATTAAATATCAAAAGTACATCAAAATTGATTGAAGCTAAGGGCATACAAAAACTGTCCAACATAATCTTCAAGTGACAAGATTAAAAAAAATTATTAACGTGCCCCAAGAAGAGTCTATTTGATCCATTAATATATTCCTGAATAGTAAACACCAAGAGCAACTCTGATAAACTATTATATTTTGTTTACTTAGCAATACACATTGGCATGGTAGGACAAAAACCACAGTTAATTAAATGGACTGAAATTCCCATTAATATAGCTTTTTTTTTTTAAATTAAACCCATTAATATGGCTTAATGCTTGCTTAAAAGTCTACCTTCTAAAGTCAAAAACAAAGTGAAAATAATGTTGTTCACGTCACCGCCTTTCTTTCTTTGTTCAATTGTTCTTTTGTTCACGTGTCACCGCCTTTCTTTCTTTGTTCTATTGTTCATGTCACCACCTTTCTTTCTAATTCTAATTTTATTCACCATTCTCTATAAAAAGGACCCTAGGGGCCCTAGAGAAGTGGTTGGTCAATTCACCCTGTTAACAAGGCTAAGGTTTTTTGAGGAATTCAAGGGTTGAACATAAAAAACATAAAATAAAAAATTTTAAAGTTTAAATTGCAGAATTTAAATTTTAAAATCTAAATTTGAATTTAAAATTCAAAAATTTAAATTTCAAATTTCAAAAAAAAAAGAAGAAGAGGAAGGGGGATAAAACAAAATAAGAGAAAATGAATTCAATGGCCGGAGTTTGTGGAATGAGAAATTACTTCCAACCTGAGCCACAAATAGATTGGAACCACGTGTCTCCACAATTGGACAAGATTAATGGTATGGCCCAAAGACTTGACAAAGTCCTTGAACGTCGTCAACAAAGTGGCCCAATGCTGAGCCGGTGAAGATGCGGCAACGGTGACGCTGCAAGACACGTCGCTCCTCGACCAGAAACAATCTGCAAGCGAAGCCAAGCCAACAAGTAGAGCGAGCTAAAGAAAGGGAAGAAGTGAGCTCGGCGGCAACAAAGACTGCGCCTCCCTTACTTTGTTGGTCATCTCCTCTATCTCCCGAGCTCCTAGCAACCTTGATGCCGAAAGACTTCAAGGTACCCCCATTAGATAAGTATGACGGGTCGTTTGACCCCAATGATTACATGGATTCTTTCCAGTCTCAGATGCACCTAGCGGGGGCTGACGAATCCTGCATGTGTGTGGCCTTCTCCACCACGTTCAGGGGGGTAGTCTGAACATGGTATCAGAACCTCGCACTGGGTTCCATCAAAAGTTGGCCTTCTCCACCCGAATGTCTACTGCCACTTCCACCGAGATCATGGATACAATATGGAAAATTGTAGGAATCTCCGTGATGAGATCGAAGAACTTATCCGTTGAGGGTACGTGAAGAATTACATCGTGCGAGAAGAGAATGGGCAGGCATCGCACAGAAAGTGTTAAGGCAATGCTATTATTGGCCCACAGTGAAGGTGGATGCACTTGAGCTCGTCAAGAAGTGCGACAAATGTCAGAGGCATGCCAAGAACTGGTTAGGGGTCCGGTTTTCCTCCAAAACCGCTTTTTCCCTCAAAACTGTTGATTTTGGTCAGTAAACCACTGAACCGGCTGATTAATTGTTTGAACCGTTCAAACCGTTCGAACAGTGTTGACCGTTTTTCAAATTTTTAATTTTTTTTTAAATTTTTTATTTTTTTGTTAGAACGGGCCGGCTGTTCGGGTCGAACAGTCGGACCGTTCGAACTGGTAACCGGACCCCTGACCAGTTCGATCACCGGTTCATTTTTAAAAACCATGATTTTGATTATGTGCATGATAAAATATGGTATTATGCTACGTGTAAATGGTCACCTTCCACAAAATAGTATGGATAGAGACGGGCTACACCCCAAATTATTATCCACAAAAGTTTCTCGTGGATGGACAATTTGTTGGAATGTTTTAGTGTAATGCACCTGTGTTACATTTGTTCAATTACTCTTATTTTATTTAATTTTTTAATAAATTTTAATTTTTAATATTTTATCATTAAAATAATAATTTTTAATGTTAATTCTTATACAAGTCTGATGGTTCTCCTTCTCAACTCTTTTTTCATTTTTTAAATATTACTTTTTAATATTTTTATCAATAAAATAATATTTAAATAATATTTTTTTTATTTTTAATATTTAAAATAATATTTTTTAATTATTTAAAAAATGCAATTGTTACCTCTTTTTTCAATTTATTACCATATACAATGCAAAAATTAGACATTTATGATTGATTATGTAGATCTCCCGTAAAATATATATGAAATACATAGAATAAAAAAGTGTGGTGTGGTGTAGACCATTTCGTACCTACCAATTTCTCATCCACACTATAAAACAACCCCTTTATAATGATACTTAAAAATATTTTCCATTTTTACTTGTATTTATTATTTATGGGAAAATGTAAATAATACACGATTCGGATGTGATTGCCCGACTTGCTTTATGAGGAGCGAATCCCAATTTCTCACTTATGGGTTTGGGAATGAGCTAAGAGCTATCTGCTTGCTTCGCCCCATGATTGACACGTCATACACATGTTAGCAACCTGCTGATCAACTTGGTCATGTGTAATTATCAACAGCTATGATCTATGCGTGGTGTATGAGTCAAATGGATTGACAAAAATACCCTCCGAAGTAGTGCTAATCTTCCAAAATGCAATTGGATAGTGACACGTGACAGCTGTGAAACCCCTTGGAGTTCTCAACCAATGCACCGGCATATTTAGAGCATATATGCCATAAGTTTGAGCTTCAATGATTTCGATTTTGTCATAAATTCAGTAGTTTGGCCTTACATTGACGTCCCGTCAGATGGCATCTTTGAACCATTGCATAATATTCGCGAGTGTGCAAGTGCAACACGTCTTCTTTTGTTTCTTTGCAAGAGCTAGTTTAGAGTGCAATATTTATTGATTAGGACCATTTGCCAACCTCTGACCTTATCCTGACGCTTGGAGCACACCAGTACTCCAATGGCCGAGCAACAAGTAATTCTGTTGCCTCTTTTGTCACTCCCTCTTCTTCTCCTCTTCTCTCTTGTCTTTCTGTTCAGACTCCGGAGATGTTCGATCAAGTTGCCACCGTCTCCTCTGGGGATTCCAATCATCGGCAATTTTCACCAACTTGGTGCACTCCCCCACCGCTCTCTCAAGGCCCTGTCTCAGAAGTATGGGCCACTCATGCTATTGCATTTGGGCAGTGTCCCGGTGCTGGTCGTTTCCTCTGCAGACATATCTATGGAGATCACTAAGACCCAAGATATTAACTTTGCAAATAGGCCTGTTACAACTGCTGCACAGACGCTTCTCTATGGCTGCACCGACGTGGGGTTTTCACCCTATGGTGAGTACTGGAGACAGGTGAGGAAGATATCTGTCCTCCAACTCCTCAGCGCCAACAGAGTGCAGTCATTCAGATTTACAAGGGAAGAAGAGGTTGCTCTTTTGATCAAGAAGATATCCCACTCCTGCCAATTACGTAGCTCAGTTAATCTAAGCGAGCTACTTCCCAATCTATCCCATAACTTGATTTCTAGAGCTGCTTTCAGTAGCAAGTTTGAAGTAGAGGATGATGATAGCAGACGGATTGGGCATTTGACGATGGAGGTTTTTTCACTCCTGGGAGTGTTTAGTTTTCGGGATTTCTTCCCTTACTTAGGATGGATTGATACAGTCACTGGATTGGATGGGAGGCTAAAGAGGACGTCTCAAGAGTTGGATAAGCTCCTGGATCAAGTGATCCAACATCATCTAGTTAGTACTACGCAAAGAAGCAAGGGCGGCCAGAGGGATGGGGAAGACTTTCTGGATATTTTGCTCCAAGCTCAGAAGGATACGACTCTCGATATCCCCATCACTCGAGACAACATCAAAGCTATCATTTTGGTAATTTTCATTTCTGTTTCTGAACCACCAAACAGTAATTAAGCGCACTTCAACCTATAAATGCAGTTTTAAGTTCTAGCTATTTATTGCATTCAAACCAATATAATTTTATTTTTTCACTTCAAAGGATCGATATATAGATTTGTCAAACAATTTCCTCATATTTAATTAGACAAAACTTTTGCAGGACATGTTTATTGGTGGAAGTTATACGACGGCCATTACTGTAGAATGGACCATGGCGGAGCTTGTCAGGCATCCCATAGTAATGAGAAAAGTCCAAGAGGAAGTAAGATCTGTTGTGGGTAAAAAATCCAAGGTTGAAGAAGATGATATTCGGCAAATGGCTTATTTAAAAGCAGTTATCAAAGAAATTCTAAGATTACATCCTCCTGCTCCCTTGTTGGTTCCGAGAGAGTCCATTAGAGCTACCAATGTCAATGATTACCATATCCCAGCTAAAACAAGAGTCTTCATTAATGTTTGGGCAATCCAAAGAGACCCCAAACTGTGGGAGAACCCAGAAGAGTTCATTCCAGAGAGATTTATAAACAACCCAGTTGATTTTCAGGGCCGGGACTTTCACTTCCTTCCTTTCGGTGCGGGGAGACGTGGTTGTCCTGGAATACAGTTTGGTTTGGCATCGACTGAGCTAATTCTTGCCAACCTCTTATATTGGTTTGATTGGGAGTTACCTGGCAATTTAAAATTGGAGGAGCTAGACATTGATGAAGATTTTGGAATCACAGTTCACAAAAAGACTCCTCTTCATCTTGCTCCCCAGTTCCACTTCTCTGAGTAAAATTAATGACAATACCCACGTACGATATATGAATGAATTCCTTTCGATATCCAACTCTTTCCTTTCTATGTAAAAGTTGATGTTCCTCCATTTAATGGTGGAGCCAATACAATGGCACATCCTATGAGTCATAGGATCAATTTAGCTATAATTTGGTATTTCTATATATGTTTTGTGTTTTGTATTTGTTTGATATCTATGCATTCCGTTATATTAATTGTAATATAATTTTTCATGTATAGCATAATATCTTAAGTATTTATGCATTATGTATGGTAATTGATCTTAAATTTAGTATTATTAATGTATTTATAAAATTTATGCGTTTCCCTAGTGTATCCAAACTTTTCTATATCTTTTTGTCCCTATCCATGTGTTTCCAAAGTGTATCTATATCTGTATCCATATCCAAGTTGTTTGGTGGGTGGTAAATCAAGTGGTTGTTGAAGATTTTGGGAAGTTTTGAATGTCTCGAGAGAAGTGTCATGATTGAGATCTAAGATTTTGAGTGTAAAAACCAACGAGAGTGGTCAATTTGGAATCTTTATGTATGAAGGAAAAAAATGAGGATTTTTGAATATTAAATTTGAGCGGTGGATGTCTTGGAATATTTGGGGTCTAACGGGAGTGCATCAAGTTGGTGAAAATTGCCGATGATTGGAATCCCCGGAGGAGACGGTGGCAATTTGATCGAACATCTCCGGAGTCTGAACAGAAAAACAAGAGAAAAAAGGAGAAGAAGAGGGAGTGACAAAAGAGGCAACAGAATTACTTGTTGCTCGGCCATTGGAGTACTGGTGTGCTCCAAGCGTCAGGATAAGGTCAGAGGTTGGCAAATGGTCCTAATCAATAAATATTGCACTCTAAACTAGCTCTTGCAAAGAAACAAAAGAAGACGTGTTGCACTTGCACACTCTCACCGTGACAAAGAAACAAAAGAAGACGTGTTGCACTTGCACACTCACAAAAATTTGTCGTTACACTTCCGTCACAACATTTCAGCCACTAAATCTATATTTATATGTTTTTATTGACGGGGAGATGTGATGATGAGATTTTAGTGTTTTACAAATAGTTGGATTATTGCGCAAAACCGAGAACGAAAGACACTCAAAAATGGGGGTGTAAACGATATTGGAAAATCAGTTTGAATTCAAGATTTGATATATTTCGTTTTGGATTATTCAAATATTATTAACGTACGATCGAATTTGAATAACACTTCTTTACCTATTAACTTTAAATAAATACAAGCAGCCACATTGCCGGCCTTTAATCGGAATTGATAAACCTGGTAGTCAATCAGGTGTTATTTATCAAAATTCATGTATGGGTTTTGATTGGTCAAAACTTTTCTCATATCATACCTTTTCTGCATCATAGATTTTCCCTATGTTTTAATCTATCTATATCTATATCATATTATAAAGCTATTAGTCCCACATCAGCATCCTTTTCCTTCTCCTTTTCCCCCCTACTCTCATCTCTCCTTTCGCATCTATCCCTTCTTAGCTGTCTCATTCTTTCTTTTACCCTATCCAGTCATTTCATTAGGCCACATGGCAAGTCTCTCAACAATCTCTTTTCTTGTCTATTTGTTGATTTTCTTTCCTTTTTTTTAACACATCCCAATTGGATTTACTTCATTTTGTGGAGTGTTAATTTTTTCTGGAAAACATCATCCACTAAACACTTTCTTCTCCCAAAATAAGTTTCTCCTTTATATTATCAACAATTTTTTCCCAAACAAAATTTCTCACTTGCCGTGTTTCACTCTAGCTTAAAGCAGTTTGTTTGTAGTAAAGTTCGAGCCAAGCTCGAACTTCTAAGCTCAAGCTCAAGACTCTAATTTGAATTGCGCTCAACCTAAACAACACCTCGATCACTGAGGGAGACCTCGGCTCAGCACCTCGGTCACTCAGGGAAATCTTGGCTTTTCAGCTTGATAATTGAGGGAGGCCTCAGCTCGGCACCTTGTCAATTAAGGGAAAGCTTAGCTCGACACCTCTTCTACTAGGAAAACCTTAGCTTGACACTTCAGTAGCTGAGGGAGACCTCGGTTTGGCACCTTGGCAATTGAGGGAGACCTTGCCTCGGAACCTCGGTTTGACACCTCAACTGCTTGGGAGACCTACAATCAAAAGTAGCCAAGCTCAAACTTCCAAGCTTTTAAATAAAGTCGAGCTTGAGCTCAAGTCTCTAATTCAAATCGAGCCCGAGCCTCATAGTTTATGAGCGAGCCCCCTGAAATGTGTACATAAGAAGGCCTCAGAATGAGGAAAACGGAATCTAATAGTATTTTTTGCCTTTTTTTCTTAGAAATTACAAGAATGCCACTCTCTACCAACTATCTCTCTTTTGCTTTTTTTGTCTTTTAAATTACAAGAATGCCACTCTCTCCTACCAACTCTCTCTTTCTCTTATAAATTACAAGAATACCATTTGTCTCTCACTCCTTATAAATTACAAGGATGCCACTCTCTCTCTAACTGAGTTCGAACCGAGCCGAACTCAAACATCCGAGCTCAAGGGCAAAAGGCTATTTGTATTGCATTAATAGATGGTAAGCACAAGCACACAGTTCAGTGTCAAGAGGATCTTGTGCTTAACCTTTATACGCAATTGATTCACTCGACTACCTACCTCCCCTCAAAGAGTACGTTAAGCTTTTGGGGGAATGACATAAGAAAACATCAAAAGAGTGGAAAATCATACTAAGTAATTACAATAACGCCATTGGCGGTCCCCCCTTACAAGATACATACATAGCCCACCCATGACACACATGATGACACCATGAATACACGCTGTAGGCACTCTGATGGCATGACGGTAGGTGCTTGATGGCGCGGTGAAGGAGTCACTTGTGACACGTGTGGATTTCACATGTTTGAAGAAACCGTACTTTGAAGAGGTACCCACGATTTCACATGTTTGAGAGTTAAATCGTGGGTACCTCCTCTAGATGAAGGGGGTGACTTTATGTAAGCACAGGTAGTCATGAGTTTCATGTAGCACGTCCGAGATCTTTGGGAGGACGTGTTTCATAGGCCCACCACGCTTGGAGATGGTTTTCGCATAAAGGAATAAAGCTTATCCGGTTGTCTCCGAAGTGGGTAGGGCGGGAGCCAACTCTATTGGTCAAGCAACGTGATCCCAGAGGACTCAAGGACGACAAGTCACATGCAATGGAGGCCAATTGCCACCTGAACCTTAGCCTTAGGGGTGAGCATTTTAAAACCAAAAAACCGAACCAAAATTTTCAGTTTCGGTTTCGATTTTCAAGATTGGAAATTCGGTTAACCAAAAAAACCAAATTGACCGAAATTTATTATATACATAATATAGTATATATTATTAAGGGGGAAGATCTGAGATTAGGTTAAGCCCAAAATATGATCTAATCTGTAGATAAGATTAAGAAGAGTCCTAATCCAAATATAGATTTGGATAAGGGCAACTCCTGATATGATTAGGAGGTTTTCTTAATCATTAAGAAAGAGGAGGAAAACCCTAATTCGATTTGACTTGAATTCGAACTCTAGGAGTTTTAGCAAACAACTCAGCATTCTTGAGATAGGATCTTAGATAACCCTAGAGAAGAAAATAATAGTTCGCCATCTTCTTCTCTAGCATTCTCCTCCAGCAATCGCCACCACCCTCTTCTGCCAATTCGAGTTCTCAGTTAGAGAAGATCAAGAAAGGTTCTTGATTATTTGTGTGGTGCTCACAGTCTTCCATCGAGTTCTTCAGAAGAGCCTGGTTCGTGGGACAAACACTGCTGGTTCGGCTCCATCATCACTGTGTCATCTTCAGTGGAAGCTGATCTTGGGATCTTCTTTGGGTGTGAACACCAACTTTGGGAGATACTGCATCTTTGGATCAGGTATAATCCCTCCCTCGTCTTTTGGTTCAAATCCGGTTTGGTTTGATTCAAGTGGTTCCTTGAATTTTGACTCTAAAATCAGGGAATGCAATTCCCAGTTGAAAGGAAGGTAGGAAATTTTTGAAATTCGTCCACCGATTCCGCAACAGCTTTGACGTCCATACGATGGATCCTACCATTTCTTTCAAATTAGACCTTGAATACAATCCAATCCGCAATTACTTAAAACTTGGAACTTGAATAGTCGAGAGTCGAGAGAAATCAATCAATAATTAATGGTGGTTCCTACATGGCATTATTTTATGAAAACTGTATGTGCTAAAAAGTTTTATAAATTAATGAAAAGACATTATAAAATGAATAATTGGTAGACTCTATATAATTATTAATTTTTTGAAAAAGGAATGTACGATAAAATTTGATTTAATTATACTTGAGCACAATTCAACCTTTATAAAATTTTAATTATATATTGAATAATTGGGTGTAAGTTGGAGATGGACACCGAACCATGAGTGTTTCAAGGTTCCATCTTCAATAAGATGGCGTCAATTAAAATAGATAATAAATTTTAGGGAGAATGATTGATATCTCCAGTGTCAGAATTTGTAGGTTCAAAGTAAATTTGGGGTAGGGTTAGTTCGAAATTGATGCCAATGTAGGGTCGGGTATAGGGTGCATAGGATATGGTTTTTGAACGTTTTAAATATTTATAGCTGTGCAGTGAGAATCCGATTTCTGCATTGGATGTATCCGTACTTCTCCATAAATTCTAATCTTTCTACTTTGTAATGGAAAAGTACATTAACATTATTTTCATCCCATTGGTGGATTTCTTCCGATGGAGGGATTTAATAGTTAGAATTTGCATGGGCGCCCATCCCAGAATGTACTGGAAACATTTCCCCTTGATAAAGTATGGGAGATGTACATGTGAGGCCTGGAGTGAGATCTGTTGGGAGCCAATCTGAGTTCTGATTGGGGATAAGTTGAGTTCAAATCCGCCCCTACAAGATTGCTCCCCATAACGTCTCACAACACATCCCCGTCATGTATTGGGAATACCTCTCAATGATGACATTGTCATTGTGGGGAGCAATCTTGTGGGAGCTGATTTGGTCTTGGATAAGTTGATATTTGATATTATCCAATCATGACATCAAGTAATCTGAAAATGGTATTAAAATAAGGATAGTTGATTTAATTGGGATAATGGGCGATCCCTCCCTCGTGATTTCTTGGTTCCTATGTTGGATTCTGATGTAATTGACATTTGAGTTGAATGAATTTGTTTTTGGGCGTTTTAAAAGAAAAAATTATGGGTAAAAGATAGGGATGGAAATTTCATGGGAATTTTTGGGTATCCGACCGTCTTGATCCTAA